AGTTTGCAAATATTCAAATACTCCCATTACTTACTGGGAGTTTTCTAATCTCAACTTTCCCATCTCCCTTTCCATAGGTGAGGCTCTTCCTCACTTATATTTTGACATTTCAAAATCCATTAGATCGTAATACATTTGAGCTATGGTTAAAAGATTGTGTCGGCGGTGTTGTGGATGTAGTGAAGGCTGAAAGAGAGGTTACCTTATTTCTGCGCCCCTCTGGGAGCACAGTTGGGCTCAGGAGAGAGGTGGTAGCTGCATGGTTAAGAAATATCCCATGTAAAATTTTTACGTAGATAGGTGAAGGTGGAACTGAAGAAATACTTTTGTCTGCTGTGAAGGCTGCAGAAGAAATACAAGCAAATTAGTAAGCTCATCACAAATCTCTTCTCACATTCCATTTCACACTTGAAGTAATTAATATACCTTTCATTTACAGTTGTGGTGAAGATTGGGATGTTGCAGAGGAAGAGGGAAGAAGAAAAAGTAATAAAAAAAAATAAATTCCCCCATCATTCCACTGTTCCTTCATGAATAAAAAATCAGAGTAATCTACCATTGATATTCACTTTAAAAAAAATACAAATTCGTTACAAATGTAACCAGATATGTGTTTAACACATCCTGTCTTTCACGTGGAGACACTCATGGTCAGCGTCATTCAAGCTTTCTCCCGTGACAGTTTTTCAGATCTAAGATCATTAATTCATATTTCTTCTCTTTACTAGGAACATGTACGTCATCAAGGTGCACTCTGCAGAGGAGATAGATGATGCGAAGGTGCTGTTATCAGTACTAGCGCATGTGAAATTGGAGGTGACTTCTCCACATACTATCCTACTCAGACTCGAAGGAGATAATAGACTCCGCAAGAAGACCATTGAAGAGAAACTCGGGAGCCTACGTTCGTCCGTGGGATGGCATGCAGACGACGCAGACAAAGAAAAATTTATCAAGACGGAGGAAGTCCGAGCCAAATATAATGTTGTCTGGTAATATTTAAAAAATCGCTGTATGCATTTTTCATCGAAGACATACGCATTCCTTCCATCCATACTAGTCAACGAAATAACTGAAATAATATTTTTATATGTTCCTCACTGTATATTCTTCTCATTCTCTCTTCACAGAAACGATAGAGGCTGAAGAGAACCAATTTTCCAAGAATTTGGTTCCCAGAAAATTTTCTCCAGTTCCGACTACATGTCTTCGTATCCCTTTAGAAGTTCTCCCGCTCTCATAAACTCACGTTTGGATTCCTTCCATTCACATCGCAATCATAATTATAAATATATTTCAATACTTTCCCTTGTCCTTCGTATATCGTGCCTATTGAGGTAGAGATTGACAACGAGTGAATTGTAATAAAGTTTCCTCTTCCATCAACGTATATTATCTAGTCTTATTTGGTTGCTCCCCCTCCTCCACGTATCTGAGACCGTTCGTGAAAGGCGATCCTCTCAGTGGGTCTTGTAGTTTCTTTCGCAAAAGTCACACTGCCCCCCACCCCCTTCCGACTCAGGTTTAATGACTGTCAGAAGCCTTGGATGCAAATAGAATGGTGTGACAGAAAAAAAAGGGAAATACAAGAGCAAAGAACTATAAATACATCATGGGGAGCTCTCCCCAACTCCCCTCCCCATCACGTCCTTGACTGTCAGGGGCCGAGGCTGTAAAAGCAGAAGAGCGTGACGGAAGGCGCTACCACAATCATTACTCATAGAATATAATGTGTCCAAACACGTTGGCGTAATCGATCCTTCCATCCGACCCCCATCGATTACCTCGATGTGAAGCGGTAATGACGGGAGATATTAGTCAATTGAAACTGGGAATTTATGCCGCGAGATTTATGCCATAACATTTCTCAAATCGAAAAATCGCTTCATAAAGGTACATGGATAATGCAAATCATCGCCCACTCGATAATTCAACGTTAATCTATATTCACTGAGTACTCGTGTAAATCGATGATAACCTGAGGTTAATTCATATGAAATTGAGATGATTTAATAAATAAAAGATTGCGCCAGGCTTGCTCCACCCGCCGATCGTACCCTTTTTATACTACTCTGCAGATTAACCCTTTCCCTGGCGTCGGCGTTGTTTTACGTCGACATCGTGTTCGAATATCCCGGCCAAGGAAAGGGTTAAAGAGAAAGACAGGAGTTTAGAGAGGGGGATTAACCAATGTACGTTTCGAAATCAAAAGAGTAAAAGAATAGGTCACTTTCACAGCACGCACCTTATGAGATCAAGCTGAAGACTGAAACGGAAGAGAAAAAATCTTCCCGATCGTCCCTCCCTCTCTTTTCCCACTTCCTGTCTCCGATTCCTTTTTTTTTCTTGTACTGTACTCGCCTCAATCCAATGGGACTCTTCCCCTTCAAAAATTTCGCTGATGCATCGCGATAGTAAAAAAAAACTATCGATACCTCCAACTATCGATAGTGGTATCGATGCATCGATCTATCGTGACAGCCCAACTTGTAACGTTTCTTCTGTACGGATATTTATTAAACTTCTGGTGCTGGATCATTCGACGGCGAATTGTTAAAGTACTGAGTATGATTACCGCTTACAAGGATTGATCTAGTCCATGACAAAGTTTCAACGACATTGCTATTTAAAAAATATCGAATCGAATTTGTAAATTGATTCGTCGATAGACACTAATAACATTATACGATGCCTTTATTTTAAATGTTTCTCACGTTTCTGTTGGATTCCGAAATTCTCGCGCAATTGCACTGCGACGGCATTCAGATTGACCAGGCTCTTTGTTCAGATTACCGAGGTAAGATAACCGGGGTGGGATCACTTCAGCAGATAAGAAGTCGGGTGACATCGGAAGATTCCACTATCACCAGCCGGCCCATCAGCTGCTTTTTTCCCCCCGTTGTCTGAGCCAGTCTGCCTCATCCTGGCTCGTCGAAGCCACCGGTGAATTTGCGTGTGAGTTCCGACTCGGCCCTGCAAAAAAGGTACATACCGCTGTCCAAGCCATCCCTCCAATTCCGCGTGTAAAATTCGCAGATAATGATTTGCTGTGGACCTTTCCTGAAGGGAACGGGACCACTCTTAGTTCCGTCCTTTCTGTGTGTCACTTTTTGCATGCGTCTCTGTCTGTCTGCGTGTTTGCCTACGTCGCACACATTGTTTTCCAAACCATAGCTAAAATAGTATGCTCCTGGTCGCTAGTACTGATCACTGAAATCGATATGCAGAAAGATGCAAGAGACAGGTACAGTTTGTTTCTGGCAAATTTATTCTAAAAAACGAAGGACGTTCTTAGGACTCATGACTTACGAAACTTGCTAACAGTAGTAATGGCAGCATAAGTCCTTAGCCTCCAGGGAGCTCGACTCGAGTGCGCATGCGCAGAACACTGCCTAGATCGGGGTGTCGCGCCTCCCCTCAGAGCCGCCAGTTCCCTTCCAGCCCTTGCGGCAGACGGATCAGCCGTTGACAGGAAGTGAGAGAGGTTGAAGGGAGCAGTAGAGGCAAATGTGGCTCACGACTGGACTGCAATTCTCCAGTTCGAATTTCGATCGTACAAAAGTCACGCAGCTTCTAGCGCTACAGATTATTGCAACATGTTTGAAAGTGCCACAGAGCACTTCAACCAATAACGGTTTTTCATATAGAAATTGGTGTTCGTGAAACCCCGAAGAAACGTGGATAGGATGGCTCTTCAGAATAAAACGCAGATTATCTTCTTTGTATTGCGGGGGCGATCGAATCTGTCATAAACACGGGGTTGATTCCCAGATATAGCTAATCCTTATCAAATCCGGAACATGGCTTTACGAGGGCTTATCAGACTTCCGTGCATTTGTACGTTTTGAAATAACGGAATTTTAAAAGTGACTGAATTTAACAGGCCAAACTTGTTGAACTGCTTTATGGTCCATTCTTGGTTTCAAAGATTTCAATCCTTTTGCTACTTTGTTCAAACTTGTGGATTGCACCGAGATATTTAAAGGCGTAGTAGAATCTCAAAATACAGGGTGTCCATAGAGTCAATTCCCTTCGGGCAACGCTTTCCCCACTGTATCTGGGGAACCACCTTATTTAGGGTGAAATTCACCAGATTCGTTTAACTTTAAACTGATTCGTTTTCATATTGGGCATCTATGGGAGTAGGTTTATCTCGGTTAAGCATATTCCCATTGTGAGATCAGATTTGTTTAGTTTAAACGGATCCGGTGCCTGCCACCTTCAGCGGGCCTCCCTTCCTGAAAGGAAAGATACCACTAATCCCGTCCACGTTCTTCCCATTCGTGTGTCTGTCTGTCACTCTTTGGTTGTTCGAAGATAACTAAGAAAATATTGGCCTGACTAATGAAAAAATTGGGAAGGAGGTAGATATTAACTAGATTAACCCTTTGAGATCATATTTATTTTCCACTAGTTGTCCCCTCAGGTCATATTTAATTTCAATGAAAATAGATAAAAACACATTTCAACAAATCATATCAAATGCCGGTCGGTAGATGGATAAATACAACCGGTAGATGTCGCGTGAAGTAAAATATCGTAATAAATGGCAGGAAAAAGTAATTTCGGGTGAGTCCGAACAAGGAACAAATGTCGGGTCCTGCCCGACACATGACCGCAAAGGGTTAAGGCTGAGTTCGTTTTGTGGCGAATTCGCACCAAAATTGGCATTTATTTATTTATTATCATTGCAAATTTTGCATTTGAAACTTGGTCGTGGAGGGGAAGGCCTTGAGTCCTTGAACCTGTGAGCCCTTGAGGATCTGGATCCCAATGCGCATGCGCGTACGACCCAAACCTTGGGCGCGGTGCCGTGTCAGCAACCAGAGCTGTCAGTTTCCTACCAACCTTCGTGGCGGATGGTTCAAAGCTCGCACAACCCTCTATCCTCCCATTAATTCATGGTCACTATGGGTAGATTCTGAAACGTAACGGAAAAATGATGTTTTTGATGGCCGAGGACCGGAAAGAGATGGCATTTTGTTCAATTAGGTGACGAAATGCGGGTCTCCTTAAATAAATGGGGGCCCACTACTGGACTGGGCTTGCCTATTTTGTTTTTTTTTTTAAGCCTGTCTATCGGGAAACCTCGGAATGGTGTCGCATCTTTTCTCCACTCTGGTGCTACTGAGAATTCATTTGCCCTCGTTTCAATTACAGGATCAGCAGAAATACAGCATTTCGGAACGTGTGAGTGAAAGGCATGTTTTCAAGGACAAGCCCACAGATATGAAAACCATGAAAAATAATATCTCTTCTTCTGTGCGTACGATAAGTGACGGAATTCTCGCAGATGTTGGCCGCGATGTAATCCCTAGGGTTCAGAAATGTCGGGAAATCGACGATCGATACATTGAACCATTTCTCGAGCGAACTCCTAATTATTCATACATTTGAATTCCCAAAACCCTCCAAGATTCAATCAATACCGTGCAGATTACAAGAAGTTGATGCTATGAGGTCAAATGGCAAAATTTCCGCCCAAATTCACTCACAATTTCCTTTCCATTCAAATCAATAAATAGCAAATTCCAAAAAGACAATATTTGGAAAAATATTTATTGGCCATACCGAAGCGACGGGAAGAAAGATATGACACGATTACGAGGTCGGTACGTTTTCAGTCTAGAGACATTTAAAAATGGCTGCTTCTGTGTTAAAACTAGAAAAGTGTAGTCTCTTTATGGCATCATTACGTGAGAGGCAGATGGGACTTGAAATGGCAATTGGTAAATATTCAAACAACTTAACAGAGAGGGACTGGGAGACGGATTGCAACAGCTTGGCTCTATTCGCATTGTTAAGCTGAAGTTAAGTTGAATTCATATTGTTAAGCTGAATGCAATATCCGATCGGGATTGGAAGTCACCTCTGTGCATAGCTGGAGTTTCGCAATGGCAATTGAGCTAGTGGTTGAGCTTTTCCACCTTTAATATAAATATTCATTAAATTATTGATATAAATATTCCTTCGGTGGTTCGACGCTCGAACCCGAGGGAAATTGATTCAATGTCGATCATTAGGCACCCCAGAGAAGCGGTTTCAGAAAATGCAGCTAATGAAAAGACTTAGCGGCTGAATATGCACTTTTTTATCGGGATTATCCTGATCTCGATCTATGGAGATCTGATCATTTTGTTCCGATCTCAGCTCACTTATACGAAATTATACGGAAAATTTTCTGAAGAAGTGAAGTCGGAGGGGACTTTCGTAGTCAATCCGGCCATTCTAAATAATTCCGTGGCTATTTCGTTTTGAGATAGAATGGAAATGAAGTGTCGACCATTATTGCTAGCATTCATGAACACGTTTTGGCGTGCTAAAGTCCTTGCACTTTTGAGAGAAGAATGAAGTTCTTAAGCGACCTATGAAACATCCCGTGGAAACAGGTGACAACCTACAGTCGTCTCGAGTTTCGGATCCACAGCACGATTACCTGCAGGAATTCCCACCATTACCTCACTCGAGACAGCTCTTTCCTCTTCACCGTCTGCGCGTATTTGACAAAGCAAGCAACATGAACAGCAGTGCTGATGCGAGCGACAGTCCAAGCTCCATGCCAGAGCCAATGAAGCCTCCTCCGCCAAAGAGGTCGTCAAAAACGAACCTCTCGAGCGAGCTCCAATGCTTTGCCTCCAAGTTGGACTCCATGTTCGGAGGCGAAGGAGCGAACAAAGGGGTGAAGAAGCCCATCGGAGGCGTGGCGCTATTCGGATGTTCTCCGATGCCCAAGCTCCTCTCTACCAAGAGCCTCGAGCCCGATCTACCGCCTGAAATTTGCAGAGAAGAAACTGTAGAATCCAAGCTGGACTCCGTCGAGAACGGGAGCGAGTCGATCTTCTCTCCTGCAGGTGCAGTTCTTTCCACTCACACAATCGATGACCAATCGATGATCAATTTTAGCCCAAGAGTCAATCTCAAGTGATTTTCTTCTGGAAAGATCGGGCGATCAGTGTCGAGGATTCCCCAGTCAAGTTCCAGGAAATCAATCCTGTGAGTCTTCTAGGCGAAGAGGCGGAGATGGAGGGACTGGACGCGATCATCCATGAGATCCAGAACAAGATCCAGGATGGTGAGCAAACACCTATACCACTCGCTTTGAAAAAGTGTGATCACGTCGTGTGATCATGCCCTTTTTACTGCTTACAAGAGCAGCATACCATAATCTAAATATACTATGAGAAGTAGCCTATCATGCCAACCCTGGGTTTGGGAAGAATTGCTGGGTTAATTACATCCAGCAAAATTCCACCATTACGACGGAGAGAAATTATATAGGGTGGTTGGGGTTCTCAACTCCAGCATTCATTTCAGCGTAGACTAACTTTATACTTAGCCTCAATGGAAAGCTTGCTGGATAAAACTCCCTTCTTGGTGTCACATCAAGAATGATTCTATGGCGATTTCAACTTGGTCTTGTCGAAGTTCCGTTCCTACTAAACATGAACACGGCATGACTGATCATTTATCCCATGAAGTCACGCATAGGGGTAGGGGTCGGAGGAATTCGATCGAATTCTCCTCGAAATTTGAGTCTCCTATGATTTATGGATTCACCGGAGGCAAGACATTACTCGGGCTCGCCCATTCTAACGTTTTCGTACTCAGAGGCACACGCTTTCCCTCGACACAATTCTGCAGAATAGTGCAGTCAGGGTTTCCTAACGGGTGAGAGTTGCCGAGGAGAGGGGATATAGGATCCAGACAGCTGAGTTGGGGTGGGTGGCGGAGAAGTACAGAAAGGGGTACAGAGGCAGAGGTACAGAAAAGATTCCTAGAGAGGGGAGGGGGTTGAGTGGCGGGTGGACTGGTCGTGATCGGGGATCGTTATGGAAGGTACTCGCTAAGGAGGAATCTGACCAATTGCACTTTACCCCACCCTCCCTTCCCATTCCCCTCACTGCATTATTCATCTAAAGGGATACACTGGGTGATCGTGTAGATGCGAGGGAAATTTTTACAGATTCTGAGCTTAAATGAGAGAAAAATTTAATAAGGTTGTTACAATTCCTTCCCAATAGGACTTGAATGACACCAATAAATCGCAGGTGTTTCCAATCATAGGAGTGAAGGTGTATATTTTACGTGTTGTTATCACTTGGCTTTTTGGGGCTAGTAAGATTTGAATATTTGCGTTTAAACGGAATGTAGGTATTTGAATCGGTGCTTCCTCATCAACATCTTGTTGATTTTAAGCATGTGCGAAGAATTACAAAGATGCCCACGATAAAGAGGGACGCTTAAGAAGAAGGAAGGACGAAGATGAACTAATTGTATAAAAGAAACACTTGTAAGCTGGACATTGGTTTGGTCTGTCTAGCTTCACCTCGCTATTTCCCATGTTGATTTGGCTTTGTAGCACTTCTTGTAGCACCGTTGTAGCAGCCTTGAGTGATGTCCGTCTTGTATCTTCGTTGCCTGGCTTTTGCCGTACATTGATCCTCATTTGTCATGCCGGTCGTCTCTCGGGCAGGGAATTTACTTGCCGCTTCCAAATGCGGTGCTGAGCTCGGTCCCGGGGGAACCGACGAGACATTTGTATGTGGGATATGTAGACAGACGAGAGCATGGAAGCGGAGAGCTAGATGGAACGACAGAGGATAAGAGGATATGAATGAGGGCATGATGAGATGATCGATGGCATGAGGGAACGAACTGCGTATGTTACCGGTTTTTGACGGTATTTTGGTAAATGTAGCACGTCGAACCGTTTGGCGAATTACACATTTGAAGATAAGCAAGTTACACTAGCACCCTGGATTAAAAATAGTTTTTCTTCGATATGCATTTTTAGTTATTGATTCTTCCCTGTTTCACCATTAAGCATTTTTTTTTTTTTTTCTCACTTTTTTGGCATTATTTACGTCTCCCTTCTCTGTTACATGCGGAGTTTTCTATCAGCCATCATTTCTCCTTGGCCCATGGTCCGCGAGAACGGGTTGACTTCGTATAGGCTAAGGTCATCCTTCAACTCGAGCAGCCGAGAATAAGTCTGACTGAGAAATTGACTTTCCGTGACAAGCTAGTCTGCATAATTAAAGAAAATTGTAGTTTTCATCATTAAAAAAATCTGGATTCGCCTGCAGTCCTGCATGAGTTGACTCGGATCGGAGCCGAGAGAGCCGCGCTGGAGCAGAGGACAGCCGACAAGAACTTCACATACGAAGTGACAAAGCGAGAGAAGGCGGCTCTGAAGGAAGGCGAATACGAGACTCGCTGCCTTGTGTGCAACGTCGCATGCCATTTTCCCTGCAAGGTGCAGAATTCGAAAAAGGCGGAATGCGAGATCATGGAGGCCGGTCGCTGCAAGGCCTGTCGCTGCGACGCCGCCAAGCACTTCAACAGCCCCCACCGCTTCCAGACTTCGAAGGAGAGTAAGACGCTCAAGGACCTGAAGCACTCACACCGAGCTCAGACGAGACGAAATGAGTCCCTGCTGGAAATCCTGAAGCGGAAATACGAGAGGAGCCAAAACGAGATGATGGATCTCGTGCTGGAGGCTCACGAGGAACTTTGCAAGCTGGAGCCGATGTCCATTTCCGAATATATGGACATTTTGATTTCCTCGGAGAATAAACAAACGAGACTCGGCTGGATGGACAGAGTCAGAATCCTCCAAGAAACTCAAGACCGCATGGGAATGGGACAGGCCAGTAATGAAACCGCCGACGTCATTAAATCAACCGATGAGGAACGAGTTGGTAATCGCGCGGGCAACCCCGAGGTAAGCAGTGGCACATTTCAGAGAATTTCCTTAACCGAGTCCTCAACTGAGCCGGTCGAGCGAGTGTCCCTTCCTTCTCAGGTGAGCGAACAAGAGGCCTTCGCTTCCAGAGCCGCCATTGATGATGGCCTCATCGAGAGCAAAACCCCACCGAAAGTACGTGCTTGGAACTTCCTATCTTCAGGTTTTCCGGAAAGGATAATATATGAAAGCGAATAACACTTACTAAGTTACATCTTCCTGTTCCTAGGGAATTTACACATGCACTGGCTTTCACAAGTGACTGGCTCTCGGTTCTGTTATTTCTAAGGACTATCGCACTTGTAGCACAAAGAGGTCTTAACTCTTATTTCCTTGCGTATGTCCCGGTTTTGGTTGTGTTTTCGTCTTTGATGCGAGTTTTCAATTCGTGAAGCTCTATATTTGATGGGCTGAGTGAGTTAGGAAAGCATCAGATATTATTTTTTTCCTTTAAGGAATTCCTTGAGAATACTTTGAGTCTAATGGAGAAAGTCTTGAATCTCCTATTTCTCATCGCTAAGGGAGTATTTTGGCATCATTATTATAAAGCATGTACAAAGGTAAATCAGAGAGGTCAGATGTTAGGAATGAGTTTTGTGAGTTCGAACTGTGAAATTTAAGAGCCTATAAATTTGCATACATTTTTTATGAAATGAGTGATGTTGGTGTTACTGCCGGTATGTGAAAGGAATGAAGAACACCACGGTACCTGAGGTATTTCCTTCCTCAGAATTCGGCCCTGGCCTGCAAGATCTGCGAGGAGGGCTTCAGAGCTGAGGGCGACCGAGTTCCCCGTCTCCTGCCGTGCGGCCACACGCTCTGCCACTCCTGCCTGGAGATGCTCGCTCAACGAGGTCCTACCGTTCTGTGCCCGTTCGACCGATCGGCCGCTGCCATTGGTGAGGAGCCGCAGGGATGCCACGAGGGGTGGAGGTTAAGCACACTTTTCCCCGTGCTCTGCTACCAGTTATTCTTAATGGGATATCTGTTATGTTACAATCTCTTGCAGTCCTTTACTGAACCGTGCCGATGAGCTCATTCCTTTCGAATCTAAGTGGGTTGGGTTGCTTATGCCAGCTGATCTCCACCCTAAATAATGTGGGCACCTCCACCGCGCGCCCCATTCTCTTAATCCATGGAGAGGCATAAATGATGAGCCTCTTGATTGACCTTGAGTGACGGTGATTGACCAAGGCTACTTTCCCTCAGGACTGGAAGGTGTCTACGGACTGAAGAAGAACTTCGTCCTTTTGGAGATCCTGGATCAGTAGGTGAGCGCAAACCTGCAGTAAGTGTGGAGGGGGATATACAAAATAATGATCTAATTGTATATAGACGCTCATGAACTGTCGCGAATGGACGAAGACTTCCTCATGTTACATGCAATATTGTTTGGATGTTAAGGAGTATTTCTTTTGCAGAAATGATGATAACCGACTAAGAAGAAGGATTAAACAGACTGTATCCTACTGTCTTCAGAAACTTACTGCGGATCCACCCCAATGCGGAGACTTTTTAGAAAAAGGAGATTTTATTTATACGGTGGGATATTTCATTAGTCCACAGTTGTCCGAGAGTTGAGCGTTTTTAACGACACTCCGCTCATTGAAACATCACCGTGAAGAGTTAGAGGTACCCGCTGGGATTTTTAAAAAACCAAAGGTAATGCGTCGCCAGGTGGCCATATATTACCCTGTGGTAATGCATCCCCAACATGAAACACAGCGTTGTGAAACCCCTTTTCTCCTTTTTCTTGTCTCCTCCTCTTTTTCCACCACTCAGTGCTTTGTCATTTTGAGATTTCAAGCGATCGTTTGCAACTGAAAACAGAAAATTTGACAATTTTAGCCCATTCTATGCAACAGAACACAGGCGGTGAAAGTTCACGAAGTTCATGCGTGTATTTTCCAGCGGCAGACCAATGACCTCGGTCACTTGCGACCTCCGTGACTGGTGAAGTACGACCGTCGCTGGGCGAGAGAGCCTCCTGAGAACCCCCATGCCCTTGGCGAAGTCATTCAAACATTCGCCCTTGGCGAAGTCATTAATATCCTTGATGTCAAAGGATGATGATCTTATTGTTTGAATGTTTTTTCATTTATTTAAATTTACTGTATTCTCTGTGAAAAAGGAGAATTAGAGAAAAGTATGCATCGCAATAAAACTCATGAAAATGTCAGGATTTTGATGTTCTGCTTTCCACGTTCATTATGTATTTTTATCTTAGATTTTTACTGTAGTTAGAACAAGAAAATTTGCTGTTATTACGCTATAGGAACTATATAAGGACTCTCTTGGTAACAATCTGAATTAAACATTGTATCTAATATACATGTCGTAAGGTTTTTGTAGAATTCAGGGGGATGTCGAATCTCCCCAGGGAGAGACGGTATTTCGCTAAATCCGCTGGTTTAGCGAAATCCTCTCGAAGTCTTGTCAATGTCACTACACTCTAGGGAGATTACATATATCCCTGGCTCGAAAATTGTCCTCCCCATAGCTTGTCCCACAGAGGGCGATTCTCCTTTCCCTGCAAAATAGAGACCACACGTGATCTGGGGAATTATGTAGATGTAGTGACAGTTCGTTGCTAGAGTTTCATGTCCTATCTGAAGGATCACCAGGCACAGAACATATATCAGGGGTTGGGTCGGGTGTTATTGGCCTAATATGCCTCGAGGTAAAGGCCTGAAGGTAGCAGAAGCAATCTGGGCATCGTCCCAATCTGCCAGTGCAGGGCACAGTTAGCTGAATGCATGGTAGGGCCTTCCTCCAGGCTACACTTTTTCTTTGATAGGCGTTTTCACTTTCTCACTGCCAGTCTTTCCCCCCATTTTCTTTTTTTCTTCATAGGCTTGAGTCATTCCAAGTCATGCTCTCGTTTCATTCTTTTCAGAGGCTTGAGTCTACTCAAGTTCAACAGCGGAAGCAAGCTGAAGTCCCATGGTATTGAGAGAGCCTATCTGGCATCTCAGAGGAAGGGCATATTTCCCTTCTCGACCAGTAAATTCCAGTATGAGATTCACTTTGAAAAAATGGTGCAGAAGAACAAACGAGTGAGATTTCCCTGACCCCTAGTCTTGCTATTCATAAGTACTGAACGCTTCAGTATGGCATCAATCCTTCAACATTGATTCAATGTTGATTCGATGTAGAAACGATCAATATTGAGAGAACGTTGTCCGATCAACGTTACATCAACAGATGTAGGGTGAGACATCTGGCGAGACATGCGAACAACAAAAATTTCCTGACTGAAATGTGATGGCGACTACTTGCCCAACATGGTTAGTTACCATATATATGCAATCAGTACGAATCTCTAGTACTTTTGGAACAGTACTTGTTATTTTCTCCGCAAACGACGTCTGGGAAGGAATTTGACTTTCTGGACATATTCGACCAATGTGGCAACCCAACCAAACAGGACCCAGGATAATTCTGAGCAGGGTGCCGGACACGAGAAAGTATTGGAGGTGATATTACTCCATGAGACGACGACGCCCTGTTTTCGAGGATGAATCCAAATCATGATCACCGCCGAAGGGTGCGTGGAGTGAGGATAGCCTCTTATTAACCTGTTCGCGGGCATAGACCCATATATTGGTTTTTAAATTTACTTGCAAACTTGCAAAGTGTCACTCTGCATTTTGCCGTGCTTCGAAATATACCATATGCAAAACACTTCTGACGGTACCGGTAAGTCGAACATTTTTGTACATGCTTATATACTAGTATATTATACATAAAGTGTGTACATCACATACATGAAGAACATGAACAAAAATACTCTGAAGGAGCATGTTTTCTGAAGTTGTTGAAAAGTGTGAAAAAACTGGCTCTTGAAAGGGTTAAATCGCGTCGGTGTCCTGCTTCCGGGGGAACGGGATGCTTTCTTATCTCGGCATTAGGTTCGCACTGTTCTTGGATGGGCGGATCTTAAAAAAGCGGATTCGGAGGATGGAGATCGTGTCCAGATGATATTCAAATAATGCCTCAGTCAAGAAACGGCGCATGCGCACGAATTAAATAGGTTGTTGAGACCTGTCGTATCAACGTTGAATCATTATGGATTCAACATTTCTTCAATTTTGAAGGAAATGAATTTTCAATATGGAGTCAGCGTTGATAAGCAAATGTTGAAGCAACGTTGTGATGTTGGTTTTGAACATTGAATCAATGTTGATATACCGTTGATGTCAGCGTTGGATCAATTGTTAATAAAAATGAACTTTCAATGTAGAATCAATGTTAACAGGCAACGTGGTTTCAACGTTAGCTGCGTTGACGAAATGACGTTGAATCGACGTTGATTCAACGTGAGTGTGCTACTTGGGGTAGAGGAAGTCCCAAATCAAATTTCTTAATTACTTTTTCAAATTGCTACCAATTTTGTGCGAAATGAATCATGTTCCATTCACAGTCTCTTAAAATTTGGAGATTTTACTTATTGCTTCTGCTCCATTTTTTCCGAGGCCGTTCTCGCTCTTTTTTGCTTCTAACTGGGCATTATGCATTTGGAAGGACTTTTAGTGCTTGGGCCTCAATATCTAGTAGTTATTCCAAACGGAAGCACGAGATCCCGTACAGCAAAGCAGAAACGTTCAGTGAAGTACTAGTACATGTTTTGTACGTTATGGGGTATGAGTTACCCGCTTTCCGCGGGCTGCATGATAACAGATAAAGTATGTTTCTTTGCGGTCCAAGGCCTGTAACAACGTTGATCATCACTTACTAAGTGGAAATAAATTGAGTCCTTCCACATCCTTCCTAAATTATTCCTCACGATGGGTTTGTTGAAAATGTACTGAGGATGGAGGTTTCCAATGAAAGAACAGTTTTTGGGCTTTGGAATTTCCTGCGGGTAGGGAAGTGATGAAGGTCGTCGTCAATCAGCACGATCTTTTATCTTCAAATAGCCTGAGGGCAAAAGTGGGGGTGTCTTTCGTCATTTGCAAACTATGGCCTGCGTCAGACATTTCCATGCAACCCAGTACTAATAGATATTACACACCCCTCGTTTAAAAGGTACCGAAGAAAGGTAGAAATGTGTACCCTTCTTATCTCTGTTCAGAAGGTACGGAAGGGGTCATATCTCTTGAATCCCTTAAGTACTTTCGAGCTCATTATAGGTTAAAGATCTGCATATTGACCTCAGTTTTTAGCTTTGAAGTGAGCTTTATGACACCGTCATTTGGCACCACGTCTCCAACAATAGGCGAAGATAAGGAAGATATACTTACACCATCGCGTAAACGGAGACTTTGACAGCTCCACAATGTCTCCAAGACGCCACAGGACGCACTGGCTGTCTCATAAACAGAGCCATCTCCAGTTATCATGGATACAGTTCGTAGCAAGTTCAATCCCATGCGAATACAATCTTTCAAGCTTATTGAAAGTCGGTTGTCGTTCGTCGGAGAATAAAAAGTCCTAACCTATCAGTTTGCACTTCTCTGTCCTCGTGCACAACCAGAGGATTTAAAAATTTTCAGAGTCTTTGATTCCGAATGAAAAATGATAACTATGCTTCCCTCAAGTATTAGTTTACGAGTACCCAAGCAACATGTTCACATAAACAATATATCAATTTTTTGCAAACAAAGTAAATTCTTGCGTTTGTCATGAAAGTGACATCACTCTTACGTATCAATAAAATTTACGTTCCTATATTTACGTCACTAGAGTATATGTATTAATAAATTATATATAAACTAGACATGACTTCATCTGACGTGAAGTACATGATATCACGTACATGCAAAATCAACACCACACCATACATATGAAACTTTAGCTGACTCTCCCCCAGTTGCAGTACCAAGTGTCTTCACTAGATGGAACCCATGTTCCCTGCACCCTACAAATGTAACGAAGTACCAGCTTTCCTGATATAGTATCAAGTTTTCCTATCATCCTTCCACTTTTCATTTTGCAATTCATAAATATACCTCATATATCTGGGAATAATATAATTATTATATTTTTTATTACAATATATGACTCAGGGAATCATTAAATGTTGAAGTTAAGTTTGGGATTACAGCAGTGCGCGGGAATAGGGAATAGTAGAATGCCCCATTCCACGAATACCATGTTTTATCCATCCTCTATGGAAGAGAGTCCCTTTAAATTCCTGCTCCAACTCCCAGGGTTCTGCGTTGGGTGCGGAAGGAGGGAGGGTTATCTTGGTACTCTTGAGTACTACAGTAGCGAGGATGAGTACTTGTGTACTCGTCCGAGTACCCTACGGTTCCAAGGTAAGGAAAGAAATGGGAGAAGTATAGTGACATTAATTCCTTTCAAAAGTATTAATTTGCTCATGAAAAGTCGCATGAAAATTAGGGGGAAATTAGCATCAAATTTGTGTAATATTAATGTAAACATGCTGTTTGGAATGTAAACGGGAATGTCAATTTTACGTAAAATCTACATAAATTTTATATCACCGGTTGCGTACCACAGAAATGACATTCCTGCAAACATTTTAAAAATATCTTGAAGATGGTATTCGTAAAAAATATATAAAATGTACTAAACTTTTACATTAATTTTACGTAATATTGACATAAACATGCTGCTTGGGTATCATGATGAGAATAGGACAGGAAATACTGCAGAAGAAAACTCTTCTCCTAAGGTCGGTTCTGTCCTGAGTTGAGTTCCGGTGTTCAGGGGAATGTAAGGAGAATCTTATGCGCATTTTCAGCACCGTTTTGAAAACCTCGACATTTGCGTCAGCAACGTACCAATGTGAACGTCCTAACAAAATGCGCACTAAGGTACGCACGTAGACATATACGGATGAGGCCCAGAAGGAAACAAATATGTACGTCTTACAGTTTTACCTCTCCCTATATGTTTCGAATTTGCTGTGCATGTACGATACACTCGGCTACATTATGGCATCACGTACTTCAATGCACCAAAATTTGAGTCAACGATAATAATAAGATTGACCGAGAAATTTTTTTTCCTCCCGAAAAGTCTTTTTCTTTTGAAGAGAGCACTGGTTTATTCGCAAAAACAGCTTTTCATTCGCCATCACTCTTCACTCTTAGAAACCTTGTCAATTCTAGTTAATGCTAGATGACAGGCCTGCAGCTCAATCATCTCATAACCATCTCTTTTACGTATAACTCTTGACCTCGTGAACCGATTGCATCGAGCCACATTGGCTCGATGCAATCGTATTTTCCTGGTCGAGGTCAATTGAAAGACATCCATGGCGTGAGAAGCGGTGATATGCAAATTGCATTTTCCAATGGGAAGTAGAGTTTACGCGAAAATAAAGAAAGCAGTGCGTCGGAGCAAGTCTTATCCTATAAGAAGGGCAACTCCTTACATAGAACAAAATAAAATTCGCCAGGGTAGTCAATGCTTTTTTCCGCATGTGTAAAATATTGAACCTTCGGCATACCTCACTCCTGTTTGAACAGTAAACAAACACTTGTGATTAGATAAAATTAGATAGGAGAACCAGGAAATCTTTATACCTTGCGCCCTGTATCTACGTGCGCATCTTCTCGCATGTGTTCCAGCGAAAGCTGTAGAGTTTCATTTCTTTGCTGATTCTGCTGCATGGACCTGCACCATGTACTGAAGGCGCGATTCAGTATTGCTCACGTAACAATTTCATTCCCTCCAGTATAATTCAAAATGCTTCAGCACCAGAGTAAGAATCGTATGAGATCCAGATTCCCACCTCCGACCTCCCCTTCTCCTTCTTCACTTTTTATTCTCTCTCACCCCGCGCCTCCCGTCCTGCTTTGAGACTCTCCGATCATGCGATGACGTGGCTAAGATATATCTATAAGGAAACCGATTACCCTCTCTTTCCATGTTGTGAATGATACATCATGCACAACTGGAAAGTTGGTCGAAGGAGTTCGACCTACTGTTGGCAAACTAATGGAACTCGTCTTTGGTGGTGAGTGTTTTCCATGTTAGGGAATTTCTAACCCTTTGTGGAGTGAAATCTAGATTGCAGGTCCCTCCCTCGAGTGTGAAACATGTCAAGGAAGCCAAAAGACTTATATATTGGGAGGGATCTCAACGAGTTGAAGGATATGGCTGACAAGATCCCCGAGAGAATTCAGAAGGGGCACATGCCTATCACAAAGTAAGTATATCATAATCAGTTGTTTTTGGCCTACATAACACGAGACCATGGAACTCCTTTTTTTTAGCCAATTTTTATGGTGACCCTCTGGAGGAGAGATATCAAATGGCTTTCATTTCACTCGTAGCGTTGTGAAGTCCGTCCAGAAGGTCTTCAAAGAGGCAGAAGTAGCCATGAATGACAAGGACGAGGAAAAGAGCTTTGTGTTCTACATGAAGGGTCTCAAGATCTTCTTTGAAAACATCCTCAACACGAAGGAGTACAAGAAGAATGAGACATACTTCCGGAGTATGCTGGAGAAGGAGGTGAAGGAGGCATCAGATATTGTCTGCGATCTTGAGAAGAGCCTCGAGAGAAGGTACATGATGGAGTTGCTACTGTTGAGACAGATCGTTTATTTTTGCCGGCCCATGATGACTTCACAGGTTGCAGGTGAAAGTAAGGTCATATCCCAGTCTGCACGACAACGTTGACTCAGTGTTGACAATGTTGAGAGGATGTCGATGCTGATGCATAGTCAACATTGACGCAACGTGGAAAATATCAACATTCCAAGGACATTGTCCGGTCAACATTACATCAACATCTATCGAGCGAAACATCTAGCGAGACATTCGAACAAAGAACATTGACATTCTCTCAACACTGTCAACATATTTTAAGTCAATGTTGTCTTGCAGACTGGGATGCAAGAGTAGTAGCAATACTTGGTAGAATGCAAGGTTTTCTAATGTTTTCAAGTCTGTGTAGGTCATGTTCACCTCCTTATATCAATTTTCACATCAGGTTGGAAATAACTCACAAGTTATTGTCCAGGTGATGACTTCAAAGTGCTTAAAAGCACTTGACATTTGCATGCCCGTCATTTACCCCATGTTCATCTGAATTCCCATTATATTATGCTGTAGGCCTGCATATCCAGGGAGCACTTGGGACTGCACCCCATTATGGATGCCACTTAGTGCCTTGACACCCAAACATTTTAACACATACATCCCCCTGAATGGTCAAGTATTTTCATATGAAAATACTTGGCCATTCAGGTGGAAAATTGTGTTCATGCATCAACATCTTAGAAATCGCAAGGAACTTGTGAATTTTAATGGTATTTTACTCAAACTTTAAGAGCATCTCCTTCATGAGTTATACAATAGGAAAATGGGAAAAAGGGCTGGGCATAGGTACTGCACTGGCAACTGAGAATGTGTTACTGTAGGCTTTCATTTTCAACAAGAAAAAATGCTACGCAATATGATGAGAAGTGGTATGAATCAACGTGAAAGTGATATTCCATAGGATAAACTAAGTCAAAAGAATTAACTGAAGTGATGAAAGTAGAATGCCAAAAAGGGAGGAGCAATGAACAGCAGTAGCATAAAATGCTTGAGCAAATTGCTTGGTTAGGCTTAGATTGAAGATGTAATACATACTCAACCTTTGAAGTTTGTGTTTGATCTTTGGAAAGGTATGACCTGCTAAAGGAGGGGATGGAGGTAGCTGTTAGAGACAAGAGACGTGAGGAGGAGCAACTGAAGAAGGATCATGTCAAGAGAGCAATTACATTGCAGCCACAGCATGATGGTTAGTCATTTTAGCATTCTAGCATCCTCACCTTTACACCTCTGCCACATCTAGCCCATGCTTATGGCTTAGGCCTATATAGAGGATGCAAGCCTCTGTATTTTGTAGTATATTTATTATGCATTGATAGTTTAATGAAGAAGAGTAATTTCAGGTTTTCCCTAACACTTAAAACTTCTCAGTCTCTCATCCACTCAGCCAGAAGACAAAAACCAGCATGAATTCAAAGCATTTTATGGTATATTTTGCTTTTTTCAGGCATAAACCTGGATAGCCCTGTGATATCCTGTCACCAGCTGAAGAACCTATTCCATGAAAGTAGCCGTAGCTTCCTCATCCTGGACTGCCGAGCCGAAGAGGACTTTGATGCATCACACATCAAGAGCTCTCGAGTCCTCAGTGTGCCTGACAAATACCTCAAGCCAGGGTATTGAATACTTAGCACTGCTTTCAGACCTAGCCAGGGAAAGAAATTTTTATCCAGAATCATCTTGGTTTCTTATTCCAGGGTGACTTGTAATTCCTTGCTGAAGACTTTGCCAGAAGATGACGGGTTCACGTTCGGACGCCGTTCCACGGTTGACCTCCTGTTCCTCATGGATTGGTTCACAGAAGATTCTCCTACACCTCAGTCCCCTCTTCAGAATCTCTATGAAGCAATCGTTAAGGTAGGGAAACCACTCTGTTTCTCCTGAAAGCTTTGAAATGTCATTGTTTCTTAAGAGAACTGTACCCTAACAGCTTTCCCTGGCTGGAGTTATGGTTTAACATCTTGAATTGTCAAATGCCATTTTTTAACCTCACTTTCAGAAGCCTCTCTACTTTGAAAGTTTTGTCTATTATTAGTAGTAGCAGAAACCTGTTCCCCACCTAATTTATGTCATGACTCAAGTATATGCTGAACTTCACATTGTTTCAGCTTTGAAAGCATTTCAAATATTATGAAATCTATAATTAACCATCTTGGAAAACTCTAATAGCTTCTTGTAGGTGACCTTCCCTCCAACCCATTGTCCCCACTCACTTAATCAAAGGTCATTTATCACGTTTTCTGTTCCTATTCCCCATTATTTAACTCTGCCAAAGCTGAAATTTTGTGTGCGGACTAATCAGAGTAGGATTGAGGCTGAATATTTGTTTCATGGAAAGTAGTTGAGTTCTGAAAGGAGCAACTATTGTGCACTTGAAATATGCTGCTCTCAATGTCAAGAAACAATGGGAGTCCTGAGCGACTGTCCAATCCTTGAATAGGCCACTCTCCCTGGGCTGCAAAATGCATGGATTGGACCAGGTTCTTCCTTTGTCCCATTTCTCACTCAGTTTTGCAACTTTCATTGAATTGTAGTGCATCAAAGGGTTTCCTTTTCATTCCTTGTTAGGAATTTCATGCTATCCTCATAATCATGTACCTAGACTTCCCACCAGCTCAGTGGACTTCTAGATTTCTCCCTGAAGATTATCCTTCTCTTCTTGTTTTTCCTCATCCTCCTTCCAAGTAACATCCAATGTATATTTCAAAACTCAGTCTATAGGGAGGTTCCTCCGAAAACCTAGTAGTCTACTGTGTCATAGACGTTTAGTACGTAATTTGAACACGAGTACATTAAGACGTATATATATAATCTCTCTTCATCTCTGATAAAATGTCCAGTCTTCTTAATGATACAGAAGAGCAAAGATCACCTAACTTCAATGATCAGATCAGTTCAGTGGTGACTAATCCATTCTCAGAATGCAGTGCTGCATCTCTTGGATGATGGAGTGTGACTTGTTGAAGTTAATTAACAAATCTTTTTTGTTGCATATTATTTATTAAACTGGTCGTTTCTTTAAATGGAAAGTTGAAGAGATCAATGCAGAAGTGAATAAGGTTCAAGTTGATTGTAATTTGTAGGCACCGTGCCATCCCTTGTTTCAGAGATCTCCTTGCATGAGGTGTTGCACCTTGTGCTGAGTTGCTCTACTGACTTAGCAGTAGGTCTCCTTTCTTTTGTAAGTGCTAGTCTCACTGCTAAGTTATTGAAGATGACAACTGTGAAATATATCCAGAAAACTGTTTAGGAAAGATGCCCCTTTTCCGCTTAGGAGTCACATCAATTAAATAGGAAGAAACACCCAAGTCATTTAGATCAGACACGAGTGCAAGTGATTAGGCCATAAACCTGGGCAGAGGAAAGGGGCAATGCAACTGTCCAGCAGAGCCACTCACTTTCTTGAAAAAAATCATTTTCTAAGGAATGGTGTTCCTAACTTGTACTATAGGGAGACTTTTCTGTTGATGTTTGGTTGGTTCATTTCCTTCCATCAGTGGGATCCAGGCACGAGATACAAGTGCACGCACCCGATGATCGTGAAGGGTGGATATGCAGAATGGTTGAGGACATACCCTACATACACAACGAACGGCCTTGTCTTTCCTCCCCTCTCCATGGCATCACTCCTGTTGATCATAATGACATTGGTGAGGACCACTTCTGTTTATCAGCTTGCACAAGTCATGAATGACTTGTGCAAACAATTTTCCCACACAGGTCAACTGAGCCCTGTAGATAAGTGGTTCTCAACCTCTTTCTATGTGCAGCACACCTAAGCCTTACATGTGGAAAACCTTAACCTAAATCGCAACTCCTAAGCATGCAGAAAACCTTGGCCTAACTCGCCTAACTTAGTGTGCCATGGCCTAACTTGGTGTGCCATGGCACACCAGTTGAGAACCACTGCTCTAGGTGATTGAAAGGTGTGTACCCTTTGAAAAGCATTAGGATCTGATGGTACACATGACATTTGTGAATATGGGGATCTTGGGATTTATTTTGTAGCGTACAGATCACTACTATAAGAACTGAAGGATTCATTGCACGTGATCTAAAAGAATTTCTACTACTGATGATGAAAGTCTGTTATCATAAGTGAAATGCAAGTTCACCAAAAAATTTGTGGATGTTTTTTGCATTCATCTGCACTGCCTCATTCTTCAGTACATGGCTTGGTTTAATTTTGCCATGGAAGTTAGAGGCTGAAGTGCTTCTTGGAAACCATTCCAGTTAACATGAAATAACTACTTTAATGGAATGAAGTGAGGCTTAAAATATTTCCAGTTATTGAATATCCGGATTTGGACACGTTTCGTCCACCAGCTGAGACCTCTCCAGAAGAAGCACCTGCATCCCTGCTTCCATCCAAGAGCCCACTACAGGAAGTGCCATCGAGGACAGAACCAGACGTTGGGCTTCACAGACTGCATGGGGGAAGAGTTAGCATGGAGTCCCAAGTGCTAAGGCCTCTTGCTGCTCCTGAGAATGCAGAGGTCAAGCAGGTCTGATCTGGCTCTTGGTGTTCTATTATAGATAAATTGATTTTGTATGGTACATGGTTGGATGAAGTTCTGGTGGTATTGGGTGACTGGGATGCTTTAGTTGCAACAGGTTTTGTTCCTTAAACATGAGTTTAGAAAAGAGAGAAGTAATCCAGGATGAAGAAAGTGTTTCCAGTGTTACTTTTTTAAATATCTTGTTTAGAAAGCATGCATTAAATTTTCATTTTTTATTTTTTGGCTCATAGGCTGAAGAAGTGCAGATTTCTAACTTATGCAGTTCCATTTCCATTTTTAATGCTTTTGGGTGTTATAAATGAATGTCCCAGCTAAAATTCTGTAAGCTGATGCAGTTCCTGTTTTAAAAATTGAATGAATTCATTGACAGAGTAAATATTGATTTATCCCTCCTTTAAGTTCAGAATGGAAAGGAATGAAAATTTCCAATATGTTCTTTTTGATAGATTGTTAAGAAGCCTCCAACAGTGAACCGGGACCTCAAACCTGGAAAGAAGATGGAGGAGAGAATTGAGGAGCGGGGAGAGCTGCTTGAGATGACAAGGGAAGTCCTTCGCTTGGAAAATGAGTGGGATCAGGTGCGACTGCGGCGGGAGAAGGAGTCTGAGGAGGCCATGCGTCAGGAGCTCCAGCGAAAAGAACAGCAGCTTATGGACCGCATCTCTTCTATGGAGTCTGAGAAGAAATCTCTTGTCAGTTTCTTTCCTTTCATCATTCTTGAGTGACGAATGTCTTTTTGTTACTCTCTCATTGCTTCTGGAGAATATGCATGTCATTTTTCTTTTGATGGGGTTGCTACAATGATGCACATATTTCTCAAGGAGCAGGGGTGCCAAAATATAAATTGTAGTTTTGTGATTGCCCAATTGAGATATCTAGATTTATTAACTCCACTGATGAAAGAGTATTTCATTGCTCAGGAGGAGAAATGGGAGACCCAAGCAAAGGAAAATGAGGAGCTGCGGAAAGAGATGGAATTGTGGAGGAGCAAGGCAACCTCATTAGAAGAGAAGCGGGAAGCCGAGAAGGAGGAGGAGAAGTTCCGTCAGCATGAAGTTCCAAAGAAGAAAATGAATGCTGGGTTCCAGCGCCTGTTGCATGAGCGCAAGGCCAAGGATTTTCGTATGTGAGGACCTTTATCCCATCTTTCTTTGCATGTTCGTCTGGGATATATTTGGTAACAGTCCAGGGACAGGTGGAAGCAGGTAGCATGGCTAAAGAGGGAAAAATAACTGAAGACTATCCCATTTCTCGACCTTTCTCCCCCTAAGAAATGTCTTTTTTTTGTGCTGAGAGAAAATTAGAATCCTTCATTGATTTCAAAATCCAATCTGTAGTTTCCAGTGTTTGGAATTATTCAGGCAAGAAAGCATTCATATAATCTCAATGGAAGAAATTGGAGGCATCAAGAATAGATGTAATTGGGAAAATTAATTTAAGTCGTGTATTGCTTTTTTATCTTCAGTAATTCATGAAAGCAGACAGGTTTGCTGCAACCTACGTGAGCCAAGGGGCACTTGAATGTCTCCCTAATAACATTTGATTTTGGGTCTTCAAAAGATCAAACCTGATGCTGTTTACATGATCCTGGATGCAGGAAGAAACTGCAGGAGGAGGGCGAGACAGAGAAGCAGGGCAACGGGACACACTTGGGGAACGGATTGGGAGGTGCCTTCCACTTTAATGGATCCAAAGAACCCTCCCCCAAGGCCAGATCAGGGGAATTTCCTCTCAGGACAGGATTAAGAGCCTATTCCTCCAATACTGGATTGCAGGGATTCACCCCCAGGCCTGCATCAGGGGAACCATCGCTCAAGATACAATCTTTATTTTCGCCCACCGTTTGCGAGGTCTGCTTCTCTTTGTGTGGTCATTGAGCTCATGATGTGTATCATATGCATTGGTTAGGACTTCGAGGTTGAGGTAGCTATCGTTACTTACCTGTCTTTAAAAATTAGTGATAATTTAAAATTCCAGTTTTTAACATAGCGCAGAACTCAGCAAATATAACTTCAGATTATGCCATACTTCTTCTCACAAAGTTGCGTGAAAATGTATGATTTGTGCGAAAATTGTATTTGTATTTATCGAGGTCTGATCCCTACATCTTGCGTACAAGTTCTTGGTCATCGATGTAGAACTCAAGATGGGATTGTGGACAGACAAAATGAATTTTTTTTTGCCAATGCTTTTCGTTATGGTATTGCAAGAATCACAAAAGACGATTTGTAGATTATTAGACATGCCTGGGGACACGTCGTTCTTCCATAATTTGCTATATAGCTTCGATAGACCTAGATAAAGTAAAAGAGGTATGGAGGATGCAAGCATAAGAGTAAAGTGTGATCCGTAGAAAACCGTTATTTTCACATAGGCTGTATATTTGAGCCCAGTAGAGCAAGCTATGCAAATTATACCTTTTTAGATAGCCGTGGATGAGATCTTGAGTATCAGCCTACCACCCCTGAAAGATCTCTAATTTAGGTGAAGTTATGTACATTTACCTGAGATGCGAACCCTTTTTTAAAAAATCTTCAAAATAGGTATTTCAATGCATGAATTTAATGCTCGAGCAACTCTCCATCCAGCTCATGCATGTCCTCCCATTGAGCTCTCAAGTAACCAAAAGCTGGCCACCCTGTACGCTCGGGTCTGATGAGGATTTGCATATTTTGATGTAAAGGGTGGCCCAGAAAAAAAAGGTAACCGAAAAGTAATGTCATATTGATTTATTTTCTTACTAGGAATCTAATTTAGAAGTATTATGTCCCAGTGAAAAATAAAACAAATAATTTCGCTCGTCCAGCGTTATTTTAGGTGCCACGGTGAAGGTGAAAAATATGTATTAATCATAACATGATGATTCTTGAATTGCTTCGCGCCACAACACGTGATTACAATGGAGTAAAATTAAATTTCACCTTCCCAGTCACCAAAAATCCAGACATGGACACATTCCGTCCCCCGCCCGACACCTACCCGAGACGGACAAATAACCAAACCTTCACTCAAGGGCCCACCGATAGCGGCGACGTTGGAACCAAGAGTCAGTCTTCCTACACTGCAAAGAGGAGGAGTCAAAGTAGGGTCTCTTGCGACAAGACCCATTCCTGCACCTAGGAATATGGTCAAGCAGGTCTGTTCTGACTATGTACCTGTATGTTCCATGTCACTAACATTTGATAATTGTGTAGCAATGACTATAAAATTCTCAAATAAGAATGTACCTGCCAGTGTCTGAGAAGAATGCTGGACACCACGTTACATATGATACTTTCTTTCTTAGAATCTGGTATTGGTATGCAAGATCTGTGACGAGAACTTCAAGGCAGTGAGTCACCGAGTCCCACGTCTCCTGCCATGCGGCCACACGCTCTGCCATACTTGTCTCGTGGTGCTTGCCAAGCAGGGTACTCCCGTTCTATGCCCTTTCGACAGATCAGCAGCTGAAATCGGTTAGGTCCTTCGCATTCAATGAGGCAGGGTGCCCGCAGAGGGTGGAGAGGATGTCGAAGGGACGGAAGGATGGCTTGGTCCAATTCTTCTCTACACTCTGTCCAAAAAAGTCGATTCTTTCAATTTGTAGCTTCTCGTAATTGTTTCAGGCTAAGGCTGTGCGCTTTTGAGGGCTGACTAAGAAATCAAATGAGCACGTGCATGCAAAGTTGGAAGAAAATTCATTCGCTAATTCTTGAAATACAGAAGGTGATTCAGAGCCTGACAACAGTAAGGGAGTGCCGCCAGAACTGTACGGACGCATTAGTCCAATATTATTGTTGTGCTACATACAAGGTGGCTGACATGATATGCACGACCAAGATCACTGCATTATTATTTCCTGTTTGACACTCGGATGAGGTGCTCGAAGTGTCCGCCGTCATTCAGTGAGCAGACACGTGACATTAGTCGAAACCCAAGTGCTGCACGGTTCGCATTCTCCTGCGACGGGGGAACGGTGAGTTCCCTCTCCGGCTAGTTGTGCTCGCGCCGAGTGCGGCCGGCGGCAATGGTCCACCGCAGCCTTACTTAGAAGAAGCTGCTGCATCTCCAAAATGAAAAAAGTGGTTTTTGATATGAATTTGCATACATGTGCTCATTTGGTATCTTAGTCAGCCCTCAAAGCGCACAGCGCATGACTGAACCAATTACAAGAAACTACAAATTGAAAAAGGGTCCACTTTTTTTTGGGAAAGAGTGCATTTATTAATACTATACTGACGTGTGGTTTACCATGTCGCGGAATATCAATCGCATATTTAGGTACATACAATTAGTTTCCGTGGGACGGCAGTGAGCTTCTTTCGAAACAGAGTGGGTGGGGTTGCGTGTATCAGCTCTTCTCCACTCTGAATTCTGTGGGCACTTTCACCTTTGTGGTCTATTAATGTGGTGTCATTCAAAGTCATGGGATCTTTGATGAACTTTGCATTTGACACATTGGATCTTCCCTTTAGGACCGGAAGGCATTCAGGGACTGAAGAAAAATTTCGCTATTCTGGAGCTCCTGTAGCTCCTGGATCATGAGGTGAAAGAACATCTGCCGCAACTGTGCAATCGTCATTCAATATAGTCAATCAAGAAAAAAATGACGTTTCTGAACCACTGCGGATGTTCATGAGGAGTTCCTCACGTGGCATTAAAATATGTTAATTCATTACGTGATGGAAATCGATCAGCGAAACACTGCGTTAGGCAATGTCTTTTCCTCCTCTGGGGAGCGTGTTGTGCGTCTCAGGTACTGAAATAATACTAAATAACATTGTTCTTGTCTAAAACACTCAGATCGACAAGAAGCAACATGATCGATTCCGACAGACGAGACAACAGTAAGCTTGTCCCCATTCATAGATTTTTACCCCCATTTGGGCTTTTAACCACACAACTATTGCCTAAACACCTCAAATTACTTTTGATATGAACTTTAGAGTGAAACAAAGAGTTAGTCGCATATAATAGGTGAAGTAACGAAAGCTTGAAGGACTGCAAATGTTAATTTTGTGGATGTTAAGATGAGATCATTTCTTGAGCTTCCTGCACTCACTATTGCGTCACTTAACTCTTGAGAAAAGATCCTTTTAGAGAATATCATGAATTTCCAGAGCAACAAAGGCCCTTGAGCAGCTCGAGGATCCAGGCCAATAGAGTGGGAATGGAAATGAGGGGGGAAACGACTACATGTGGAGAACATTTCTTGGAATAAGAAATAAGTATTGTGACCTTGGCGACTTACACGTCGGTGATCTGGGGTGATTAAGTCCACCGGAGAGCGAGAATGACTCATACAAGAAGTCACGCAATCCAAGGCCAAATTTCTTCACGATCTATGGAGTGTAATAAAGAAGGTGATGGCGGCTGATGAATTTATATTTACATGACTTAGTTTTGTACTGATGTTCGAGGAAAAAAGGATTTGTTGAAATTGGCAACATTTATTACTCATCGTGAAACGGATAGCATACATTTGTTGTCAATTTCATTCCAGAGTTTCATTTTAGGTTAATGGGTTAATCTAGACGTGGAAATCTGCTGTTTATGGTGATGTATCTGTATCACGTGTATTCTCGCCATTATCATGATAAATACATTGTATACACCATCCTACCGTTTTTGCATGCTGCCATTCCCATGCAGCAGAAATTTGGCGACGAAGTTCCATTTCGACGATGGAGGGCTTGACGAATCCAGCGTGATGAAAACTGTGACTATAGGCATTTTGTCCCTCGTATGAACCGATAAGGCACTTTATCGATGGATGGCGTCACTTACGAAAATGTCTTATAGGATTCCTATATATTCCTATAAGAATCCTATAGGAACCAAAAGGAATCCGATAGGAACCTAAAGGAATCCTATAGGTTCTTATATGCCCCATAGAGTTCAGTTCTGGACCTATAGAGTCCCCTATAGAACCTATAGAGTTCCCTATAGAACCTATAGAGCCCCCTATTGAACCAAATAAGGCCTATAGGTTCCCTATAGGACCCAAAGGGCTCTGTACAGGACCTATAGGGTTCCCTATAGGACCTATAGGACCTTCAGTGTCCCCTATAGGGCTAATACGGAACCCTATAGGCCTATAGGGTTCCGTTTGGAGTTCTCCTCTA